GAGGCACAATGCAAAATTCATAGGAGGTGAGAGGAGTAGATGCCATCCCATAGCAATATAAGATCTTTGATTAAGTCTGTAGCCCAGAAAACCTAGAATGTAATCACAAAATAATTCACCTTTTTGTGATGTGAAACTATTTCTCTAAGTTAATCAGAAGGGAAAATGTCATTGGCTGATGGGAGATGGAAATCTGTGTCTATCTCAAAGATTCAGTGCTTCTAATTTATGTATTTAGTGTTAAAATTTTAGAATCTATGTTTTATGATCATTGTTGTACTTAAAAGGCTACACACAATAGCAAACTGAGACCTTTCATTTCATTGATTTAGAACTAGAGATGTCATGGTTCTTCTAGTCCAACCTTCTTATCAAGAAACTGAAACCAGAGAGATTAAGTGACACCAAAGACTGTGTTTTCCCCTTTCAGTTTATATCTCCAGCACTTAGCACCTCATAACTTATTAAAGGCTACTTGATTGACTGATTGCCTAGGGCCACATAGGTAGTAAATGGATGAATTAGGCATAGTATCTAGCCCTATGACTCCAAATCCAGCTTTGTTATTGTTAATTCCTCATTCTACCATGAGGATGAATTATCCATATGTGAAAGAAATGCAAAATGTTAACCTCTACAGCTGTCAATAGTGTAACTGAATCCCAAAGATCACATTGTGGGCTTCTTGGTTTTTCACAAACCTAAGCTCCATTTGTTATCTCCTCTTCATCAAAAGGATTCTCTCCACAAGAATCTGTGAGGGTTTCATTTGGGATTAGGTAAGTGATAACATATTTTGTAATGACCCTAAAACTTAATTGGGACACTTATTAAATGATTACTACTCTGATTTTATAATATTCTAGCAGACATGTTGAGTGATTTAAGAAAGATTAAGGTGTTGTGTTTTTTTTTTCTCCACACTAACCTTTTTAAGATCTAGGAGTAGGCATTTTCATGAAAAGTCCATTAAGTGTTATTTGTTTTTATTGATTTTCCCCTGTAAAAATCTTACTGTGTTCTAAATCAAAAGGCAAATAAGAAATAGAGGCTTGGGTATCTTACCTTTCAGCTTTTCTGAAAATTAGTGAAGAACTGTACTCAAAATAAGCTTTCTTGATAATGATGGGTTTGATTTTTACATTTATATTTAAATTTAAAGGTGAATGTTAATCCATGAGTTACCAGGAATACAAAGAAGAAAATAATTTATCAGTATAAGAGTAATCTTAAGGTTGGAAGGATTTGCGCTCAGAACTTACATATTTTATTTTGGATTTATACATTTGAAACAAATATGACTTTAGCTCATATAATAGAGCTAACTGGTTAACATACACGTTAGATTTTTGTCCAGTCATAGGAAATTTGGTGCTACAAAATATTTATAGTAGTTACTTGGATACTTGATAGATCTGTCATATAATCAATATGCATGGCATCTCAACCCAGCCATGCCTTCTCATCCTCTACAACTATTTTCCATGTCTTCCTATAAATCCTCCACATGGAGTCCACCCTGCCATCTGGAAACCTTCTTCTAATTCTCTTCACATTGTGTGGATACTAGAGATAAGGGCTGCCTATTGAATACTGAGTCCAGTTTCTTACCTTTTAATTTATTTGTATTTTTTAAAAAAAGTTTTTCTAGGGGGCTGCTAGGTGGGGCAGTGGATAGAATACCGGCCCTGGAGTCAGGAGGACCTGAGTTCAAATCTGGCCTCAGACACATAACACTCACTAGCTGTGTGGCCCTGGGTAAGTCACTTACCCCCAATTGCCCTCACTAAAAATGAAATAAAATAAAATAAAATAAAAAGTTTTTCTATCTCTATACTTGCAATCAGCTGTCACTTCCTGGTACATGCCTTCAACAATAGCCTTCCAATTGGTTGTTTTTGATTCCTTGTGAGCCAGGAAACCAGTTAGCTAAGGTTGTTAAAAGCATATCTAAAATCAGAGTAAATAATCTCTGAGTGGCACTTATAATTTAAGTGTTTGAGCTTTGGTTGATGGACTTAGAGAGTAAAAGCAGAGTTATCAGACAAGCAGTTCACAGGCTGCAGGGACCAGCAATACTATGGTGTGCAGGCCAAACCAGATTAAAATGTAATTGGGAAATATTTAATAAAATGAAAAAATATACAATGAAACATAGTTTATGTTACATTTTAAAACTAAGTCAATATACCTACAGACATGCTTATATATGGGTTAGCAACCCCTCATTTGACACCATTGTTTGACACCATTGGTCTAAAAGACATTTGACTTAGAGTCACAAGACCAAGTCAATCAGTAATCTACTAGCCATGTAACTTTAGTATATTATCTGAGTTGTCTGAACTTCAATTTTTTCATCTATAAAACTGGAGTCATAGAATCATAGGATTTTTGAGCTGGAAGAAACTGGAGAGGTCATCCAGTCCAACTCTCCTCTTTACCTTACTCTTCTAATTTTATAGTTAAGGAAATAGAGGAAAGATGATTTGCCCACATTCACACAGGAATTTAGTATGAGAGGCAGGATTTAAACTCAGGTCTCCATATCTCAAATTCAGTGTTTTGCTACAACACTACTCACACCATTAATACTATGGACTTTACAAGGTTCTTGTGAGGAAACTGTTTTGTTCATGACAAAGTACAATATGAACATGAACATAAGCAGCATGAACATGAACACACACATCTCCTTTGGCTGCTCAGGTACTCTTTTTTGCTTATTTCACTCCAACTGGACAAAAACTTATAAAGTGTGTACTGAGTGCAAAGCACCATATGGTAAATATTACAAACTTTGCTCTTGTGGAGTTTATGATTTTTAAAGTATGTCATTATCTAGATAGCTGAGATTGATGGATAAATGACTTCTGAGAAATGAAGTACACCTGGATCCCAACTACTGTGAATAAAGAACTCCCTGAAGTGGTGAAATTACTTAAAGTTATAATGACGTAAAATATGTTAATTGGTTCCAGCCCAATGAAAACACGCAATGTGAATTTGTATAGTGTTACCACTTCATGGGATTTGCTATTTGCACTAAATAGCACCTAGCTTATATATTAACTTTCCAAACACTAAATGTGTACTTAGCTGATAATGGCTATTACTGGTTTGCTTATTTGTTGTAAGGTAGAATTTTGAACAACATTTCAGTCTAGGTGAGTATGGGGGTAGGTAAGAACAATATCATCAAGAGAAAAACATCAATACTTGTTTTACGTTACATTGGAATTCAAATAGAAAACATTTTCCCCAGATAGTATTAATATACTTGTTCATAGGACTCAACAGTGAGTGAGTTTGTAGCCATTCATCTCCATAAAGGCAATTTTTTGTTTATTTGTTTGTCATCTGTTTTAATCAGCAGAGAAAACCTTAGTAAGCTCTATCAAAATGGTTTTTTTGGGGGGGGGCAGCTTGGTGGCACAGTGAATAGAGCACCGGCCCTGGATTTAGGAGGACCTTAGTTCAAATCAGACCTTAGACATATAACACTTACTAGCTGTGTGACCTTGGGCAAGTCACCTAACCTCATTGCCCAGTCAAAAAAAAAATGGTTTCAGGCTTCACAATGCTTTCAGCCTGGCTATATGTAGTTCCTTTCAAATGTGTAACTCTTTATACTTGAAGACCAAAGTACTACTTTTTGTTTTTAACTTCTTACGCTGCTTAGTACAGAACTTCATGACTAAAGCAGGGTTTTGGTACCAGTAAAATGATGATTAGAAAGGTATGAAAATCAATCAACTATACTCTAAATACAACAAAATTACTGTCTTAGGTTCCCCACCCTGAAACTAATCCTGGTTTTAGTATAATTAGTCTGGTTTAGCGGTCAATTAGTCAATCAGTGAATTAAATTAGACAAATATTAAGTATCTGATTCATGTAAGAGTCTCTGCTAAGCTCTGGAGATACCACACAAAAACAGTACCTGCCTTCAAGAAACTTAGTTTTACTGAAGGCATATAAAATGTACACAGATGAGTAAATGCAAAGTAATGTGAAGAGAGAAATAACATGAAAGACCAGAGTGATCTTGGGAAGACTTTGTGGCCTTAGGTAAATACAATATCAATAGAAAGGAATTTGAAAGTCTTTTTTCCATTTTTGCCTCTAAATGTATTTATCTCATATGAGTCTAAAACATTTTATGAAAAAATATTTAGGAGTACCGTTCTATTACCTGCTGTGAGTCTGAAATAGAGAGACAGACAGATTTCTCAGTGAGACCCCACACATTTGCACAATTTTCCCACCTGCTGGCAAAAATGAAGGGAAAAGTAAATTTTAATTCAAGTAAAAATATTCATTTCAACATGATAACATGTTAAAAGTTCTCCTAGTTCTTCTGTAATCATCTAGTTTTTTCCCTTGAGTTTTTTTTCTACTTGGAGAAAGAATGTTAATGTAGAAAAATGTCAGTCACTCAAACCAAATGAGAGTATGAATGGAAAATTCATCACTAGTTATACTAAAGCACATGTTCAATGAAAATTAACTGCAGAAATATTAATAATGATTGACCAGAGGAAAACCTTAGAAATTCAGATATTGAAGTTGGAGAAGGAAGATAGTAGTTGGGGAAGAGGTAAATAAGAGGAAGAAAAATTGAAGAAAACATATAGATTATATATGTAATATATAGAGATTATAACTGGAGATTCTCAAGTATGAAATAGAGCATGGGGAAAACTTGAGAGATCAAAAGAATTGTAGTATGTTTGTTTCATCAGGAAGGAACCTTAAGGATCATAAAGGCCCAACATCTCATTTTGCAGAAGAGGAAAAAGAAGCCCAGAAAAAGAAAAAAAAAAAAAACTTGTTCCAAGTCACACAAATAGATAATGATAGAGCCAGTACTAGAGTCCAGGTTCCTGGATGCTCAGATCAATTCTCAAAGAATCTTATCCCCCACCCTTCAAGGTCATTAATCACATTAATTTAGAAATGAGGTATACTAATGGTGTTCATTTCTATTGCCTCCTTAGAATTACAACCACAGCTGCTTGCATGATGGACCTGCGCAGATATCCTCTGGATGAACAGAACTGCACCCTGGAGATTGAGAGTTGTAAGTACTTCACCGAATCCACTGAGCAGATGATCAGTATGGTTTTGATCTGAATTTATATAAAGGCTGAAATATTTTTTCAGTTTTATTTTATGAAGATATTGACTTGCTTCAAGGGCATGTTAAAACTGCAGTTTGCCAGGTCACTGTGTTTTTGGTGCACTGTGGTGCACTTAATTCCATATCTGGTAAAATATGTATTAATGCCCTTCCCCTAACTCCAACCCTTTTTTGTTCCTTCTCCAAGTTTTACCAACAGTGATGTTTTGGGTGAACAATTGCACTGGGGAAAGAAGGTACTCATTGCCCATACTATAAAATATGTATGGATTTGTATGGCGTGTTCATGGAGGATTACCACCTCTAGTATGGGGGCTTACCTTTTTCAGGGTTTCTCATCCACCTTTGGTGTCCACCTGCCATCCAACTCTCACCTGTGGCTTTACAAAGCTGTAGCATGTGCAGTGGCCACACCTCAGTGAGGTAAACCACCTTGGCAGATGGGTTAAAACTGGTTGACAGTAACCAACAGATCTCAACCACATGGGAGAGTCAGGGAGATGTCTACCCCAAGCATGTGAAGAATTCCCATGGTGAAATGGGCACATGAGAACAACTCATCCGCCATGAAGGGCATCTGAAGCAGGCACTGTGAAGTGCGTAGAGGTTGGTCAGACATCAAAGACACCAAGTTCATCCACTACATCTCAAGCCATTTCCAAACATCTTGACTTTTGTCTTGCTACTGGACTTTGTTGATGCTAGAAGAGAGAGTGAGGCTGATGACTTTGTGCAACTCTGCCTCACTTAGATCCAATTCAAGCATAAGTCAAGACATCACCCCGCGGTGTCATTAATCCGCCTTGAAAACGAAGGACAAACAACAATTATAAAATACTCAGGGCCCAAAGTTGCCTAACCATGCCAAGATTTGAGAGCTATGGGCAGGGTTGAATGGTAGTGAAGGGTTCTTGGCATACAAAGGACCTAGATAGTTTGCTTGGGATTTTAAGGATATCCAAAGATGGGGTGGAGAGGTAGGGATGGCATGAGATTCTAATACCAGTTAAGACCCAACATGGCCCTAATTGTCCTGATAGATATTCATCCAGGTGGCTTAGTAATTTATAGAATGTGAATTAGGAGAATTTCTTTTGAGCTTTTATTTGGTATTTTATTTTTTTCCCCAGTTACATGTAAAAAACAATTTTTAACATTTGTTTTTAAAACTTTGAGTTCCAAATTCTCTCCCTTCCTCCCTCCCCAAACCCCTCATTGAGAAAGCAAGTAATTTGATATAGGTTATATATGTGTAGTCATGCAAAACACTTCCATAATAGTTATGTTGTAAAGACTAACTATATTTACCTTCATCCTATCCTGCTCCCCCATTTATTCTATTCTCTCCTTTCACCCTGTCCCTCCTCAAAAGTGTTTGGTTCTGATTACCCCCTCCCTCAACCTGCCTTCCCTTCTATAACCCCTCTTACCTTCTACTTTCCTGTAGGGTAAGATATATTTCAACACCCAATTGAGTGTGTGTGTTGTTACCTCTTTAAGCCAATTCTGATGAGAGTAAGGTTCACGCATTCCCTCTCACCTCCTCCCTCCACTATAAAAATTTTTTCTTGCCTCTTTTATGTGAGATAATTTACCTAATTCTACCTCTCCTTTTCTCTTTCTCCCAAAATATTCCTCTCTCACTGCTTAATTTTATTTTTAAATATCATTCCTTCATATTCAAGTCACACCTGTGCCCTCTGTCTATATATAAATTCTTTTTAACTACCCTAATAATGAGAAAGGTCTTATGAGTTACAAATATCATCCTTCTATGTAGGAATGTAAACAGTTTAACTTTAATAAGTCCCTTATAATTTCTCTTTCCTATTTACCTTTTCCTCCTTCTCTTGAGTCTTGTATTTGAAAGTCACATGTTCTACTTAGCTCTGGTCTTTTCTCAAGAATGCATAAAATTCTTCTATCTCATTGAATATCATTTTTTCCTCCTATACATTATACTCATCTTTTCTGGTTAGGTGATTCTTGGTTTTAATCTTAGCTCCTTTGACCTCCAGAATATCATATTCCAAGCCCTCCAATCCTTTAATGTAGAAGCTGCTAAATCTTGTGCTATCCTGATTGTGGTTCCATAATACTTGAATTGTTTCCTTCTGGCTGCTTGCAATATTTTCTCCTTGACCTGGGAACTCTGGAATCTGGCTATAATATTCTAAGAGTTTTGCTTTTGGAATCTCTTTCAGGAGGTGATCAGTGGATTCTTTCAATGACTATTTTATCCTCTGGCTCTATAATATCAGAGAAATTTTCCTTGATAATTTCTTGAAAGATGGTCTCTAGGCTCTTTTTTTTTTTAATCATGGCTTTCGGGTAATCCAATAATTTTAAGTTATTTCTCCTTAATCTATTTTCCAGGTCAGTTGTTTTTCCAATGAGATATTTCACATTGTCTTCTATTTTTTTATTCTTTTGATTTTGTTTTACAATTTCTTGATTTCTTATAAAGTCACTAGCTTCCATTTGCTCCATTCTAATTTTTAAAGAAATTTTTTTCTTCAGTGAGCTTTTAGACTTCCTTTTCCATTTGGCCAATTCTGCTTATTAAGGTATTCTTCTCATTGACTTTTTGGATCTCTTGTGCTATTTAGTCTAGTCTATTTTTTAGGGTATTATTTTCTTCAGTATTTTTTGAGTCTCCTTTACCAAGCTGTTGACTCATTTTTCATGTTTTTCTTGCATCACTTTCATTTCTCTTCCCAATTTTTTCTTTACTTCTCTTACTTGATTTTCAAAATGACCTGAGACCAATTCATATTTTTCTTGGAGGCTTTGGATGTAGGAGCTTGGACTTTGTTGTCTTCTTCTGAGTGTATGTTTTGATCTTCTTTGTCACCAAAGTAAGTTTCTATAGTCAGTTTTTTTCCCATTATTTGCTCATTTTCCCAGACTATTACTTGACTTTTTAACTCTTTTTTAAGGTAGGGCTCTACTTCCAGTGTGGAGGACAAACCGTTCCAAGCTTCAGGGGTTTTGTGCAGCTGTTTTCAGAGATACTTCTAGGGACTTGCAAGTTTTCAGTTCTTCCAAGGTGATATGATCTAAGGAGAGGTGTTTACTCCTCTTCTGGCCTGTGCTCTTGTCTGTGAGTGACTATATGCACTCTTTCCTACCTTGAAACTGTGAGGAGGGTTCCCTCTCTACTGCTGCCACAAGCTCTGCTATGTGAGTGTTCCTCCTCACACCAGGACTGCCACCCAAGACTGTGACCCAGATCCAAGGATGAACAAAGCAACAGAATCCTGCTCAGTGCCAGCAAAGAGATCCCTGTAATCTCCCTCTGATCCCCTTACCATCTGTGGACAGCTGCTGCCACTGCTGCTGCTGATTCTGTCACTCCCAAGGCTTGCTCCTGGTTTCCTGGGGCTGGGGCTGGGGTTGTGCTGGCACAGCCTGTGCTAGACTGCATTCCTCTCTCAGCCTGGTGCAACAAACATTTCCTGTTGACCTTCCACATTGTCTTGGGCAGGAAATTTGTTTTGCTCTGTCTTTTTGTGGGTTCTGCTGCTCTAGAATTTGTTTAGAATAATTTTTAAATGTATTCAGAGGGGTTTGGAGGAGAACTTAGGTGAGTTCCTGCCTTTACTCTGCCATCTTGGCTCTGCTTCTATTTTGAGTTTTGATGGTCAGTTTATGATGTTTAATATATCACTCATATGTCTATCTGAAGGGTAAGATGGCTCTTTTTATTCTCTACCCTACTCCTGAGGTGATTTGTTTTCAGTCAATTATGTTCATAGTCTATAAACTTTTGTTTTGTCACAGATATATCAGTCATCTATGTAGTAGGTACAGTTTGCTAATTTTTAGATACTAATTTAGTTATTCAAATTCATATCAAAAGTCAGGTTTTTAAATGGTTAGATCAAATATGGCAAGATGTCTTTTCAAGTCTACTTATATTGTGAATTCCCTGAATCATTATGATACCTCCTCTTACCAAATAATTGGTAGGTGATAGTTTCATATAAAGCACTCTCTCTGTTGTGAGCCATCAGACTTTACAGTCAAGATTCTATCAGAAGTTATATAAGGAGTATTGCTTAATTATAAGAGATAACTCATCATATGTATCTATATCTTGATAATCATTTTAAATACAAATCATGTTAAAGACATTTGTATTTTCTTAAGAACACTGTAAAAGTATAAGAATATTTTCATCAAATTGTTCTTTTAGGAAGAGATATAGTTTGAGAACGTTGATTAAAACACACAATTAGAAATCAAATTTCTCAAAAATTGGTATACCTTTTATCCTTTTTAAAGAAAAACTCCATAAGAGTACTTCAATGCCCAAAATACCAACATCCTGCTCAGAAAAATGCTTTACACACAGTTAATCAGCAAGCATCTGTAAAGTGCCCACTGTGTGTGAAGCACTGTGATATCTATGTAGATAGAACTATATCTAGATATCTATACAGACATAGATGATAGATACACAGGCATATATATGCAGATAGAGAGATAGATAGATATGTGTGTACCTTTTGCTGTATTCTTTGTTAGAGCTCCTTGAAAGTAGTCATTTTTTTTTTCATTCTTTGACTTTATAATCCCAGCACATCATGTAATGCCTGGCACATAGTGGGCAATTAACAGATACTTGTTGATTGATTGAATGGAAAGCATTGTTCTGAGCAGAAGTTTGTCATTTTTTTTTTTTTGGCATTGAAGTAACCTTATGGAGTTTTTCTTTAAATAGTACAGAATATATGCACATTTTTGAGTTTGATTTCTGATTGTCTGTTCAAATCAGTATTTTCATATTGTATCACTCTTCCCCATAGAACAACTTAATGAAAATATTCTATATACTTTTACAGTGTTTCTAAGAAATTCCAAATATCTTTAGCATGACTTGGTCTTTTCTCAACATATAGTTACAAGACAAACTTCAATATAATGAATCTCAAGGG